TATGATGTTGAAAATGAATTTATGAATTTGCTCAGTAATTTTTGACTGTTGACAAGTAACTTCTGAATTGACGACATGTACCTTGTGAACACTGTATAAACCATTACTGTATATTTACTATATGATGCATATTATGTCACATGTCAAATCTTAAAAAAAAAAAAGAAAGAAACACAGGCAACAATATAGTTTAATGACCCTGATATTTTAGTAGTGTAGATATTGGAATTGTTGCTAAATACTAATGAATACTTTGGTACCGGTAGTTAGTTGCTGTAATTAAATAGTGAGTGTGGCAGTGTTTCATATTAGCCAAGTAATTGTGTGGTATGTTTAACCACAGTCCCTCAACACTGACCGGTGGTGACTGTGACGGTCTGAAATTGAAATCTTGATTTTTTAAATTAATTCAATGAATATACCTTTTAAATTATACGTACCTTATCAGAAAGTCTTTACGAGTACTATTACCTGCGTATCTAAGAATAATTTCGGAATAAACTGTATAAAACGGCACAAGTTTCACTGGAGCCGAACGGAAGACAATTCAAAATCAGGAAGACGCTGTGATGCTATGACGTCATCGGCTTCACTCCACAAGCATAACGCGCACTGTTACCAGCGAACGGGGGATTAACACCTTAGAACAAAGGCGTTTCCCAACCGGGTGTTGAGGGACTGTGGTTTAACGATAAATACAATTGCTGTAGGAGTTCATCATCATATGATGTTTTACTCAGTTCAAATTAATAATGATACTTTCCAATGGTTGATAGTACCGTAACATTAATTTAAAAATATCACTATGTTGGAAGGTAAATCGTTTTTTTGGTTGGGTATCTGTACCTAGTGTCTGGAGACTCTTTCTGTGCAATTGATGTGCCTATAGCATATATGTGGTTGCGTGTGGTGTTCTAAATTATGTTTTTTAAATAGTCGTACATGTGATACAGTGAAGGTTAAAATTATGCAAACTGTGAATTTTGTTATTTGAACTTCATGTGCAAACTTTTAATTTCAATCATGATGTTTTAATTTATTAACCTGAAAATATGTAAATATAAATAAAACCGCAGTCTATTTATGTTGAACAATCGTAATGACAATTGACAATCAAAATATACCTATTTTCCTATCTTTTACATTCAACTTCATCAGAAATCATTGAAAATAAATTCCATACAAAACGCCCAAAAAGTCTTTTCAGCGAAAATTAATTCCAGCTAAAATAAAGTATTTTACAGTATGTCATTAAACTTTATACAAGTAACTCCTTGATATATCTGGACCTTTAATAACCTATTCTTTGAATTTTTATAAAAAAGTAACTTTGTCAGAAAATCCAGTGCCACACACATAATAAGTATTAGATAAAATGCAGGTTAGTGCACATTGTAGAATATTAGTGTTGATGTACATATATTTATTAATCTATTGACAGGGGCCTCCTGAGCCTATGCAAGTTGACCAGCCTGAGGATAATGAGAATAGCCATGAGCTGGTATATGCAGTGGAAAATCCAACCATGGTAGGGTATATATATGTCTTACTTGTTGATTTCTTTTCTAAGAGACGTTTGTTTGTTTCCAATAATCCACACCATGTGAATGCATGCAACAATTGACAGACTTAATTCTTGTATTCTAAAATTCTTTTGTATTGTCAATGTTGACATACTGGTACTATATATTTCTGTTGGAAATGCATGCCTGATACAAATTTAATAGTATTGTATTTCATTGAGATAAATGATTTCAATTAGTCCCACGATGTGCTTTTAATAAAGCGTTTATGCGGTAATGCTTACATAAATGACAATAGTCTGTGGTAAAAATTAAGTTGTATTTTAATGATTCAGTATACAATGATTCCAGTAGAGCAAATAAATTATATATACCAGTACATACATGTGTAATGAATGTTTTCTGTGTGTGAAGCACACTATGGGAGTCTTTGCCGTTAGTGCATCTGTGTGTGTCTGCATCTGTGTGTGCCTCTGTTCCATTGATATCTCAAAGACTAATGATCATTTTTTGATGGTTATTTTTGTTGTTGCAATTCGTACATATAAATTACATAATTTGCATAATAATTAGCCAAATTTTTCTCAAGTACCATTCAACAGATTTGAATAAAACATGTTACACAGATGCACTTGTCAGGTGCCCTGGGTGAAATCATGTCATACTTTGTCATCTTGAGAAGCCATTTCTCTCTGACAACCTCTCACTGATGATTTTATGTGTCATTTTTCATAATCGTGTACATTGCGCATCAATGACCGGTTTTATGATGGGAACAACTCAAACTTTGGTTTTCACATCGCATGTGATACATGTATAGCCTTGTGTAGGGTCACATTTGTGCATGCAATTATGTCTAAAACAATATTTTGGTGAGATTTGGTCAACTCTTTGTGGTTATATATATTATTGACAATTTAAATGCCACATTGTTGTGCATATACAAACACCATATCACATGTGTTTAGTTTATTATTTATCTGCAACACATTCAGTCTGGATCTCTAGGAGTTAATTAAGCAATATGTCTGCATTATTTTGTTCAGGATCTTGAGGCGTATGCTGCTCAGTACTCTGGGCTGGCTAAAATCAACCGACTACTGTTCATAGCCGTTCACTGTCCCAGTTTCCGGATTGAAGCACTGAAGATGTCACTGTCTTACTCGCAATCTACGTATAATACACAAATGTATCAACACATCCATAGAAAGTTACAAGAGGCTTCAGCAAGGTATTAATCTGTTAATAAATATGTAATGTCATCTTACTTTCCACTTACTTATTTTTATAAACATATGCCCAAAACAATCTGTATTGTGGGCTTGCTATCAAATATTCTTAGTGAAGTTTGGTGGACTACCATGGTGTCTACAGATGCACTTTATACTGTTTTCCATCTAGTTTAAAAGAATATGAAGTTATTACGAGGATACCAAAAAGTATGCATGAAGACAGTACAGCAGGATCAGAGTATCTAGGCTGTGTACTGTCCAGGCGCATACTTTTGGGTAGCCTCGCAATAACCTTATTATTATACATCTTTTCCTCCCAAGGATACATTATGGGAATGCAGAAATACAAAATGTTTAGAACAGATTGAGTGAACTTTTTTGTATGGGGTCCGGTCCGGGGGCTGTCATGTTTGTTTTTATTATTAGAGGACGCTTACATGCGTAATCATTCCATATTTGGAATTTGCATTTCCTAATATGGTAGGATGAAAATACCCCGTAAAATACTGCAAAATTACAACACGCTGACAGATGTATAATAATTATTAGTGTTTATTAAACCAGATTCTTCGAAATATGAAACAATTGAGCTATGTGAGGAAAAAAAACCTTGTGTCCTCATATTTTGGGGAAAAACTATAAAGTCATACAACATTTATTTTTTCACATGCAGTGTAAAATATATGGTCTATAATATATTTGTCTCTTTCATGTTGTTTAGCTCTTCCGCACTGCCAGATGCCATTGCTGGCTTAGTTCATAGTATTCCTGCATTGGACACACAGTGGGTAGAGACGACCAATAAGAAAGCTGCCATGAAACTGGAAAAACTAGATACAGATTTGAAAAATTACAAAGGCAACTCTATTAAAGAAAGCATAAGGTAAGTGGAGTGTCTGCAACCATGTGTGGGTGTTGGTACTTTGTCATTACCAGGGATAAAATGAAAGATTATATTACAACTATTTTTGTAGATCGGACTGGCATCAGTATTTATATGGATTGACTCGTTCAGTTTGATGTTCATGATCAAACATGATCTTCACACTAATCTATCTTTTTTCAGGAGAGGACATGATGATCTCGGCGACCATTATCTAGATCAAGGAGACCTTAGCAATGCGCTGAAGTGTTTCTCGAGAGCTCGTGACTACTGCACCAGTTCCAGACATGTTGTCAATATGTGTCTGAATGTAATCAAGGTAAACTTTGCTGTCAAGAGATTATATGTGATTTGGATGTGGTGGCAGGATGGGGAGATTAGCCATGTCACAATAATAGCTTTACTGGCAGAAATATTTAAATGCATTTTAGAATATTCACCCTTTGAGCGCCAAGGTCAACTTCAGGAACCATCCATAAAATAGTCGCATTTATAGTCTGCTCATTTCCACATAAAATCTTTATTATTTTTTTTGATCAAAAACTAGAAGCACTGTCTCTTTGTTCCAAGATTAAAATTGAATTCAGTGAAAATTACAGAAAATGTGAACAAAGTTATCTATTATTGAGTGGAAAAAAAGTGGATCATTTATAAAAATATAATAAAAATATATAAATATAATATCTTTTTGATTATTTCCAATGAGGCCTTGTGTATAATACTGAATTGGTGATCACACTTAATTGTCATGCTCTCTTGGACTCTTGTATGTATCCTTTGTTCACGCCATTTGTAACATGATCCAAATAAGTCTAACATACAATTAATTGAATTATTGCAATTTTTGGTTTGGTAGAGATGTGCTTTTAATAAAGTAAATGTACATGTTTCTTTCTAAAAGTGTACTGTTGTTCTGTTTAATACTGTAAACTGCTTTAATAATATTACTCTGGTGTTCTACAACGTACTCCACTTAGTGACTTTTCACAAAATTTTGTTTTCACGAATGTGTACAACCATGAATATGTGAAAGTTTTTACTTGTGAAAATGAAATGATTTACAGTATATTATTCATACAGTAGATATGATATATAAATCAAATAATTCTAGTAATGAAAGTATGCACTGGTAATGCACTTTAAGTACATAATAATGACTTTAGTTGATAGTCACTGGTTCTTTTTTCTTTGGCCATGGTTTACATTGGAGTGTTTGCAGAGACAATCATGTATAAATGCACCGTCTTATCTCAAGTTGCAGTTGCCACCATACATTTGTACTATGTATACTTCATGTCTGTATTATTTATGTGTGTTCGTATACTTTTACAGGTTAGCGTCCACCTTCAAAACTGGTCTCACGTGCTAAGTTACGTCAACAAAGCTGAAGCAACTCCCGAAATTTCTGAGGTTCGCGTAAGAAATACATTTTTATTTGTTCAGAAATACTTTTTTGTTGATTATATTTTAAGTTGTTATGAACAGTAACATAATATGTACTGATAATACATTGTACATTTATAGAAAAACAAAGTGATTACATTTGAGTTCTTTTCCTTTTCTTCATAACTGGAGTTTTCCATTCATCTTCCAACTACCCCGGTACTAGTGAATTTTTTTTGAAAGCTGTCAAACAAATACAGTCAAACCTGTCTATAAAGGACAGTCAGTGGACTGAGCCAAACTGTCCTTTATAGACAGGTGGTCTTTATATAGAGTTGGCCTAATTTATTCATTCAATCATGAATATTAATTAGGGCGGGAATTTTAAGGGAGATCATAAGCAATACATAAAAACAAACCTACAATGAATAGGTTTTTTTTAATAAAAGTCACTCATTTTCATCTGGATAATTACAGCTTTACTTTTTTACTACAAATTATATCATGTAAATTCACTGAAACCAAGTGATTCTGCCCATGGATTCATTGGTGTATTTAATGCACAAGAACGATTGTCAACGATCAGCTGCATTGGCGTTTCAGCTGGGTCTTCCACACTCTCGCCATGCAGTCTTATTCCCCAGTCTCTTACACATATTCCAGTAATCAGTCCCATCGTTAGTATTGTCGATTGTACACTGTGACAAAATGCACGGGCAAAGTTGCCGTGTTTGAAAAAACAAACAAGCAAGCATTAAAAATGAAGAAGCATTGGTAATAAACAAAATTTACCAAACTCATAACGATTGCTCCAACTCTCGGCGTTGAATCAGAAAGTCAAACGAACCGGAAATAAAACACGATGATCGTACACACAATTTTACAGTTATTTGTTGCAAGCATCGACGTGTCAAAACTGCCCAAACGAAACGAATTTTCTCGATTGCGAATTATTGATATTACCTTTTATAAAAAAATAGGATCAAAATAAAAAAACACCTTTCGTTGAGAATAACCCTGAGATGACCCCTCAGTAACAATACGTTTTGCCCATGCGCTAGCTTCATTAGCATAATTTATAACGATCAACAACATGGCGGCCAAAATAGGTCGGATTTTGCAATCCTGCGATGAAAACAAAATAAACAAATGTTTTATTATTTTGTTTGGATATTTCATGTCGACAAGGTAAATAAAACATCTCTCATTTAATAAAACTGGTTCATTTTTCTTTGTTTTCGAGACGAGAAGAATTTGCTCTCCATGTGCGAGACAGTCCACAGAATTGCCGCTGGCCGGCTGGGGATAGATAGTATAGTACCAATCGGAAACAAGCTAGTTTTTCATTTCAAACTTTGAATGAAACTTTTTTAATTTGTTGTTAAAATCTTTCCAGTCCCCAGACATTACATTCAGATGATATTCAACTTTTTTTACTTTTTCGCAACTTCACAAACCAAGTTGCGATGGTCACCCCTGTCTGTTAGCCCTAAAGATTGCGTTCTCGGTAATCTGAACGTAACATATGGCCACTTTCCTGTTAGCGATTCGCAAGTAGCTATTGTCTTTTTGCTGAGACCGTCTGATGGAAATGTTGGTGGTCGTTATACAAAGGTTAAAGTGTGAATAGGCCTACAATAGGCTGGTCGCGTTGGACAGGTGGTCGCTATATCCAGTGTCTTTAACGTGTAAACTGCGAAGGGACTGTACTAAAGGTGGTCGCTATGAGCAGGTGGCCGCTCTGCACAGGTGGTCGTTAACACAGGTTTAACTGTACATTGACATTGACACACATGTACTGGTAATAATATATTCCTCACTTGTACCAAACAGCAAAGAGATATGAAGGACAACCTCTACGTCGTGACTAAACTGAAATGTGCTGCAGGTCTCGCGGAACTAGCAACTAAAAAATACAAAGCAGCAGCCAAATACTTCCTACAAGCTTCTTTTGATCACTGTGATTTTCCTGATGTAAGTACCTCCACCTGATTTCTGGATTTTACTTGTAATTACTAAGGATAACATAAAAGAATTACCATGTACTGTAAATACTTGTAATTGTAAATTTGTTAATACTAATTTTCATTATTTTCGCTGAAGGAATGATTCATTGAAAATAAAATCCAGCGAATATACCTTTTTTCCTGTATTTTACACACAACTCGTCAAAAATCAGTGAAAATAAATTCCATACAAAATGCCCAGAATGTTTTTTCAGTGAAAATTAATTCCAGCAAAAATAAAGTATTTTACAGTATACGGATTGTGTATCTCAACAGAGTGATGCGGAAGAAAGGTTATTTTTTTTGTAGTCATACTGTTGTATATCATAAACTTACAGTTTGAAGAAGGTATACTCGCTGACTGTACTCTGGGGTACATGCATGAGAAATATAGTACATGTTCAAATTTCACACTTGCAATCGTTTCATAATCCAATTCATAATTGCTGAATGGTCGCCATTTAATGTTTTAAAATGCAGCTTACAATTCTGGCATCGGATCTTGGTTGCTCATGGATGCTCTTCATTTGTTTTAACTGATCAAATGCAAGATGACTGACTGACTGGTAGTCATTTTTTTCAAAGAATGCTGTTCCTGGGCCAAGAGTATTTCTACCATTTTGTAGTGGAATATCAGGCATACATTTATCCGCCATATTCACTTTAATCCATTCATTATAGTTGTAAAAATATATATTTGATAAATATATAATCTAAAGATACATTCTCTTAACTTGATCTCATCATACTTAAGTAATACTGTCTGCATCTCAGATTGATACGAAACTTGTGGTAGTTGTACATGTCAGTTGGTGTGGGAGTGTTAGACAATATTGGCACCACACCACTAATGGATTTCCCATAGGTGACAGTGCTAACACTTGGTTGAATTAGAAACTTTTGTTAAGCCAAACGACTGTCAATTCTTTGTAGGCTAGACAATCTTGTAACCAAATGTAACATTTTTATGCCGTCATTAGCACAGGCACATTTAATTGACACGATGGTGTTAAAACTGACATGATTTTTAGATATTTAGAATACAATACTATGATTTATCTCTCCTAAAGGATGGTGTGATCAATCTGTCTGATTTTAATCAGTTTTCAATCAGTCAACGTAATTTGTTGGCAGTGATGTTAGAAGTTACAACTCTCTTGTGACAGTGCCGATGATGTAGATCTTAAAACATTGTGTGTAATATATTTCAACCAGTTTTAAGCAATTTTGAAAAAATACTGTAACAATATTTTATTCTGTTTTAGCTTCTCTCACCCAACAATGCTGCCATGTATGGTGGTCTTTGTGCACTGGCGTCTTTCGACCGGCAAGAATTACAGAAAAATGTCATATCTAGCAGGTGAGTGTATACACAGAATAGGGACTTGGTAACATGCATGTGCGCTTCATCAATTCGTGTCGCTGACATGTGTAGCTTTCATACAGTATGCAAACATTGCATCAGTCTGTGAATTATTTGAAATTATTTGTAAGTGCTCTATTTATCAAGATTTATCCACCTTACATTTACCGTTTTTTTTAACAAGTGCTTTGACATGTATCAGTAACAAGTGATTCCTGGACCTTTAAAGCATGACAGACGACAAAGTGTACCGTAAAAACTTGTTTAATTCGCAGTCTCTATTAATTCGGCACACCCATTTTATTTTCGAACGCTAACTTTTAAAAGTATCCTTTTAATTCGCGGCATTCAAAACATATTTATAATTGTATTCTATTAATTCGCAGGCCAGAATAAAGTGCATAACTCAGAATATATTGCATGAAGACATTAAAAATATACATTTTTTTTGAGTTTTTATGTTATCAGTACTTGGTGTAGCCGCAATAGCAGATGATCTCGGTCATCACAGCCTTTCAATTAGCAAGCAGTTTAGGTTCGATCAAGATTTGACCTGAAAAAATCATTCCCCCACGACACTACAGATGTTGGGCAAGATTATTACATAGTTGATAAATATCTAACGGTCAGCACATTGATTACGAATTTCTGTGATGGAAAGCTTAGTACAGGGCTTTTCGTCGCTGGTCCACAGGGTTGCATTGACCATGTGTCCACCATTTTGGAAAGTGATTTTATTTTATGACATCATTTAAGTGAACCACCTTATAGTGCGTAAATTGCCATTTTTGATTGGTCGGGCGATTGACCTTGTGTCACATTTTCATTATACCGGATTCGGTAAAAAACAGAGTTAAGCGGTCATGTACATTCTATAAATCTAACCTTGCACACATAATCTTGTCCTGACATGATTTTTGTCCAAAAAAGAAGTTTCCTTTCATTTAACCGCCAGTTAACTCTTCGCGTTCATGGTATTTGTGAGAGTTGAAAGACTTTTTGAACAAATGACAAGTAACTATATTGATTTGCTTCAAGCTGTGTGGCCCGAATTTAAATATCAGTGCATAAACTCTGGAGGTCGTTACCCAATGTCGCACGAGTTCAGTCGAAATGTACGTGAATAATGCGATCGAAGTGTGCTGCCCAGAGTTTATTATATTATAGTGAAATTTAATTTGACTTATGGTATGTTTATGTTTGCGTAATTATTACGAATACAACGCATTATCAAGTCGGTGATATTGAAATATTCACAGACCCAATACCCCGGTCACTGCCCTAACAATAGTAAAAAAAAACAAAACTAATTATCATGAAAGCAATACATTACGAAGTTGAAATATTCAGAGCCGGTACAATATTGTAAACAAATTTGCGTAATTAGAAAAGCAGTGCACTAAGTAAACTACCTTGATATATTCAAAGCCAGTACAGAGTTGCATACAAGTTTCGTAATTACAGTACAGTCGGATATAATAACAATTTTACTAGATGGACGCGCGGGGCACAAAAGAAAAAGGTTGCTAAGGTAACGCGCCAGTTCAATGCGTGACTTGGGGTCAAACTTCAGCCAACACACACTTGATGTTAGCATCGCCACGCTGCAAGTTTTGCAAAGAAGTACTTGAAGTTCAATTGCGTCCCAAAATGATGTCGCTGATCACTCAGTTGTTGCAGCGTGTGTTGTGTCATGTCCATGATGCACCCTGTTTCGACTTTGGCTTGCTTTTCCTTCTTAGTGCATGTTCTTGTTCATGTAAATTGCGACCTCTCACCAATGTATTAAAACATTTTAAATTCACTTTGCATGATTATATTTGGTCAACGCAAAACATTATTTTCTGATACCATTTTTATCAACACAGGGTTATTTTTCCAGACAAGATGGGCCTCGTAATATCTGCCATAACATCGCCCAGGCGATCTTTTGGTTCACATTTTTCTAAAAACAAATCAAATCCTCCAGAAGATCGCTCAGGGCGGGGTATCAGCCGAATCCGGTAAATGAAAGTGCTTGACAAAAACAAAACAAAACAATCATGTAAACAATGAACACATGGCAGTGTAGCCAGACGGCTACTTTGTAGCCACGTGTTCAATTGTGTAGAGAGTGACCTTTGCCATTTCACTGTTCCATTTTCAAGTGTAACATGGTGCATGATCCTTGACGCAGTGCGTGTTCTCTGTCCGACTATACGCCATGAATGTCGCCAGCCACGAGTCTCAGAGGCACTAAAACAACGTCCTGTAATCGTGTTCATTAGAAAACAAAACAAATCACTAATAAATTTATGAAAACAGCTCCTTTTTGAATCGATCTAAAAGTACTCTTAATTCGCGCACTAAAAACCAATAATTTCCGTTTTTATGCTATTAATTTGCGCACTTGAAAAAATAATTATTTTTACTACCGTGAATTAATCAAGTTTTTACGGTATTCCAATTTTTTTTTATGTTTTTGTATTCTTCACATGGGACCATTATTCAAACAATGCATTGCAGTTGAGCTTTACAGTGGGTGGCCAAATACACTGATTAAAATGAACACTGCTAAGAATGTTTCAAGGAATATTACAATGCTCCAAGGGAAAAGCGACAGTGGTTTTCATGATCAGTTTATTTTGGTACTTGCTTTAACTACTTCCAAAACAGTTTGATCATCATAATTTTTTCCTACCAACATTTTGGTGCTACATCTTCCTCAATTATATTTTTATATTTTTGTTTACGATAATTGAATTTTTGTTCAAATTTCCATTTATTATTACCTACATGTCTTGTATGCATTATTATTTTGTGAAAAGTGACAGAGATTTATTTTAGCCAGCATATTTTTATTAAATCGTCTCTGTTATCTGTCCACTTGTGGGTTCCATGTGACGTATACAATGCATGTAAACAACATTGTTCACATGACAACATTGTTCACATGACAACATTGTTCACATGACAACATTGTTCACACATGCAGTGTAACGACTGATGTACTTTAAAGTAACAATTCATCAACTTATTTTTTTCTTATACAGTTCTTTCAAGTTGTTTCTGGAATTAGAGCCCCAGCTTAGAGACATTATTTTCAAGTTTTATGAATCCAAGTATGCATCATGTTTGAAAATGTTAGATGAGGTTAAGGACAATCTTCTTCTAGATATGTACCTTGCCCCACATGTCAATACACTTTACACTCAGATTAGAAACAGGGCTCTTATTCAGGTGAGTTTTCTTTAGTGCTCGATTGCACTTTTTAGCTCCGCTGTCGACTTTGTCGAGCGGAGCTTATCATATGAGTGATTGTCCGTCGTCGTCGTCCGTCGTCGTCCGTGTCAATGTTTTACTTTTTCGACTTCTTCTTGAAAACTACAAGCCTGAATGCTTTGATACTTGGTGTATATGTACCTTGGGTAGACCTCTCTGAGGTTTGTTCATTTCATCTTGATATCTTCAATTCTTTAATTTTGGTGAATATTTTTGTCATTTTTGGTAAAAAGTGATATTTTCGACTTCTTGTTAAAAACCGCAATTGCAATTGCTTTGATATTACATATATAGCAGGGTTCGTACGCAGCCTTGAATTCCTGGAATATACTGGAATTTCGAAAATCACTTTTCCAGGCCTTAAAAAGCCTTGAAATTTTGCTTTTTTATTTAAAATCCTGGAAAAACCTTGAATTTCACTATTTTTCATTTATTATTGGCCACTCTCCAATTTTTCCTCTCCGTCTTTTGATTATAAATTGACGATTGTCGATCTGTGGTGAAGTCTGCCGGTTTAGGGGTCATGTTGGTTGTCACAGCAATGTAAGGTCATGAGCTGCGTGAATTCGGCTTGTTGATTGGCTGTTGTAGAAACGCGTTCAGTGCCTACTTAGGCAAGCCCAGGAAATGTTGTATGGTTTTTTTTTCATGGACCGTGACTGACTTCATTGTTTCAACCAGCTGGTCCAAACGGCATTGTTTCTAATCCTATTCATTTGTTTCGACGACGTGCCTGAAAATATT